CCCAAGATGATGGGTCTGTAATTGGATGCATAACAGCACTTCAAGTAGAATACCAATAGTGGCGTGTGTAATATGGAGAAATAAAATCATAGCACGACAGGTGAGGTCGAACACCAATAACAGCAACAGCATGAATGCAAACAAAATGAGACAATTGAAACTCCCCACATGTACATGCCTTGGCATTGAGATCAACAACAAAAGAACGGGAATGTCTATCAACCACTTCAAATTCCAAATATGAGCACGGCTTTACCTAGAATAATGAAAAAGTGAACAATAATATGTAACTTGACAATGGAAAAGGACAATGCAAAAACATATAAGAAACTGTATGAAAAATCCGAAGGTGGCAGAATGTACTATATGTTGTAGGAAACTTCCAAAGATTAGGCATTAATATAAATGGAAAGAAATATTGCAGAAGAAAAAAAAACTAACCCTGAGTTTCCTAGCTTGACTTTGAAGTGAAACCAGTAGCTTTTCACGTTTTTTTGTCAAAAAGAGGTTGTCTTCTCACCCTTTTTCTTTCTCTCAGTGAACCATTGTTGCATTTTTACTCTCAAAAAGTCAATGAGTTTAGCGACAGAATACTCCCTTGCTGAAACATCTACATTGTTCATTGACTCTGCACAATTTGATGTCATTATATCATACCTACGAGGACCACACATGCACTTTGCCCATTTATGACTGCCAATTTTTTCTAGCCATGGTCGTATACGGGTATCTTCGGAATCCAACAATGCCATGTACTCTTCATACTCCTTCACAGTTGAAGCCATATAAGCAGCTTTGAACTTCCAACCTAAATCAACCGCGGAGCCCTTGAATTTAGAAATCATGTTACGACGCAAATGCTCAACACAATATCAATGACCAGCATGTGGAAAAATCTTTTTAACTGCACTAAGCAAGCCCTTATGTCTATCTGATACAATGTACATGTCCTCGCGGAACATCAATGCTTCACGAACTTTAGAAAAAAACCATATCCAAGACTCTTTAGATTCTGAATCACATATGCCAAATGCTAGTGGGACAATTTGGCCATTTGCATCTTGAGCACAGGCTGTGAGAAGGGTACCCTTGTAGTACGCCTTCAAAAATGACCTGTCTGCAATGAGAACTGGTCTGCAATATTTCCACGCCTCCCTCCAAGGTAAGAGGGATATGAAAAAATAACGGAAGGTATTATCTTCTGAAGTTATAAGAGAAATTAGAGAATTTGGATTAGCTTTTTCAAGAGCATACGCCAAAGACGGTAGCAATTGGTATGAGTCAGAATCTGTTCCAAACTGTTTCTGCATAGCTATCTTCTGAGCTTTCCAAGCCTGCGCGTAAGAAATGGAAATACCATGATTCAGAAGCATGTCTTCCCTTATTTCATTTGGCCTATAAGGCTTTTTTGACGCATCCAAAAATTTATGCGATACAAGCTCTCCAACAGTGCGGTAGGTCGTTTGGCGATGTTTGCCTTGACGAAAATCAAAAGAGCACGTATGTGATGATGTAAATCTGCAGAAAACAAAGTACTAAAAATGTGAATATGAAAAGAATGTGGAAAATATGCCAACATAATGGAATAAAAGATAGACAGAATGGTTCACTAAATATACAGTGATGGAGAAATACCTTCGTATCTGAAACATTTGGACACCACGTAGTCTTACAACCCTCACAGCCCATTTACATTTTTTATCCAAGCAGAAAACGTGTAAACATTTCTTCTTTGATGTAAGTGTCCTGAATTGGAACACATTATCTATTGCGTACAACTTCAAATGGTGAAGAAGATCTGCTTTAGAATTGTAAATAGCATGAAATACAATCTAAGTGGGGTGATAGTGAGTGATGACATCGAGATTATGGTGAACAAAAAAATTGTCATTACACATTGAAGAAGGTGACGGAGTAGAGCTAACTTCTGGGGTAGGACTACAAGAGAGCACATCTGTATTGGTCATATGAGTTTGGGAAGTGTCTGTAACATTGACCTCATTATTAACTTGGACGTAATGTTCTTCAATACTGTTGAAAGAAGAACGAATATGACTAGAAGATTGATTTAAGAAACATGGAATTTCTGGTAGAACAGTTTGTGCAACAGAATTTGTGGGACAAGATACAACAGGTTGTGCAACAGGTTGATCAACCAAGAATTCCACACACAAGGGAGATTTTTGAAAATCAGTTTGAAGAGACTTAAGATAAAGGTAAAAAACGAAACGTTTCCTCATCATGGATAGAAACAGGTGGAGGACAACCATCAACAATGTAAGAAAGATTAAAGTGATTATTTGATTTGTAAGGAGAAAATATGGAAGATAATTGTTCCATGAATGTTGTGTAGTTAGCAGAGAAAAGAACTTGCATAGCAAAGGTGGATCTGCAATCGAAGTTGTAGTCATTGTCCCAAGTACCATCAACTTTCACCATAAGCAGAAGAACATGATCCATATTGACAACTAAGGAGAAAAAGAATAAGAAACAGAATTAAAAAACGTCATAAACCTATAACAAAATGCCAAGTTTATGGCAATAACAAAGAAACAGAATTAAATAGCAAACGATTCAAACAAAAGTGAAAGCTCAAATAAAGTATAATCGCCAAAGTAAAGGCAATGATTTAGATTGTGAACTCGGTCAAAAAACCAGTATAACAAAAAAGGCATATAACCTTATGAAAAACGCCAAGTTTTTAGCAATAACATCCTTGACAGTGATAAAGCAATGAATCTCACATGAAACAAGACATTAGAATTTGATTAAGAGTAGAAAGGATGATAATGTTAATAAAACGAAGTAAGTAGCAAACGATTCAAACAAAAGTGAATTCTCAAATAACAGTATAATCACCAAATTAAACACAATGATTGTGATCGTCAACCTGGTCATAAAAAATACAAACGACAAATTGAATTTCACATACCAGCCAGTATAATCGAACGGATTGCTAAGTTGAGTTGAAGAGATGATCGAACGGATTGACCTTGAATTTGTTGAGTTCCAGAACTCGTCGCACGGAAGAATAGCCAGTATAATCACAAGTTGAGTTGAAGAACTGATAGAACAAATAGGCGTTGAGTTTATTCGATTGCAGAGCTCCGATCGCAAGAAGGTAAAAGAGGAAGTTAAACGAAGAAGAAAGGCGGTGGCGCGAGCAACGGATAACTAACGTATTAAACTGGCCGGTATTATGTCGGTACTAATATTATGAGTTAAACTAGGCTTAAAACATAACAGGGGTAAAAAGGGAAAGCTAAAGTAAGCATGTTTCCAAATAGGACTAATGTGGTCCTATTTTGAATTAAAAACATAAGCAATCTTATTTTAGATTTTTAGGCTAGTTTTAGTCCTATTTAGGCTAATTTCAGAATTCTCATAATATGAGTAAAACATGGCTAATTTTTTATCTATTTTGTTATTAATTAAAAGGTCCAAGATGAAATTCATTTAGGACAAAAGAAATTAACGAAGCTTGGTAAATGGTCGGATATGCATCTCATTAAATTTGACATGTTTAAATTTAGAAGGCTAGAACAATGTCTTCCTACAAGTACTCTAGAATCAAAAGTTGAAAGTTTATATGTTTATTACCTTATGACAGTCACCAGAACCCGCACGGCTACCAGAAGTATTGTCGTATTGATAATGCTGGAGGTCGTCGACTACACGCTGGAGGCCGTCTCGTTTCGTTGCGCCCTTTCTGCTTGCTGGCTTGAGGGAGAAATGGGAAAGAATGTGGTTCTTCGATTCTCCCGGATTCTTACGAACGGGTGGATTATTTTATGATTTGTTACTCTTGGATTTTAGCTGATTTTAATGGAATTGGTATGAAAAATAACACTAATCCAATTCCACCAATTCTCTTTGCCTCACCCCTCGGATTTGAAATCCACCCACCCATCTGTACGACTCTTCTCAACTCTTCTCACCTGTCTGTTTCCCTGGCTTGATAGCAACCACAAAACCACATGACAGAGAAAGAGGATAATCAAAAGATTGGGTTTGAGAAAAGGGTCGATTCAGTACACGAAGTAGGGGCGTATGGCATAAAGAGTACACCATCATGCAAACCGGTTCCAACGGTACATCAACTTAAGAAACGGGAGTTAATTTGGTACCTCGGGCCATTTAATATGCTAAAGTGCACAGGTGGCCAAGGCCAACGGATTACTGATGTGGCATAACTAAAGACTTCTCGTCATCAAAGCGGTAGTTAATACCCTTCAAACCCTACCCCGTTGTATTCTTACGCAATACTGAAACGAAGAGCACCGTTGAAGAGCAAAATTGAACCTGAAACCTAAACTGCTGACCTTCATTTCAAGATGGAGTTTGACTCTTCTCAACAAAGGTATGGTAATGTGTTTCCTAATGCATCCATACAATAATATGGCAACCATACTTTTACATGAATATTGTTATACTTGAATGCATTCTTAAAGTATATTTAGGGTTGTAAATCGCTTAAACATAACATTATAGTGGTTGTTCATTATTGTTGCATCATTTATTAAAATTTGTGTATGTTGGATACTTGAATTTGTTCCACTACTTGGTTGTACTTGGGAAGCTCTTAATTGAGTTGAATATGGTCTGTGTCCCACTCATGGTTGCAGCTAAAGCTCATATGTGGTTGTTCTAAAACTATTTCATGGTTTTATGAATAACAGTGCATATAACGTGCAGTATGTATTTTCAGGTCAAGTATTAGTGCAAAAAATATTTGAACTTGTAGTCATTGTGGTCATATATCAGTGGAGCCTCTATATCAGTCCATACCTGTCATATTTCAAACACAAATGCAACTCATTATCAGTACAACACATTACAACACTTGTCATACATCATACCAAATAACTGATACATTACAACACTTGTTCAACTTAAAGTCAGACATCATATCTGAGAACTGATACATTAGAACACTGAAAATACATGAAACCTAACAGTGTGATACATCAAACCAAGACCAACTAACAGATCAAATGTCACTAAGTCATACATGAGTTCCTAAAACACACACCTAGTTTAGTTAATGTAATAACTGAAACTCTACTCAAACTTCCATTCCAACTAATCCTTCCTAGCATCACACATATTCGAAGCTACCATTTTCTTGCTTCCAATGGCATAGCAAACAGCCCATATTACTGCCACCACTAATCCAGCAAGAATGCACTAGAAGACACTCCTAAACATCTGGTTTTTAGACATCCCTTTTTCCTTTTCCTTCTCATCGGGAAGCTCAGCTTCCAATCTGTTTATTTTCCTCAACAAACCAGGAATAATCATCTTCGACCTATAATAGATTTCCTCATCAAGCCATTCGAACATGTTACAGCAAGCACCTGTACCCTAATACAATGGCAGATCAACAACACAAAAATAATGCCATATTAGTCACATTACAAGTCATATTACAACTGATATTAGAACTAATATTACAATGGAAATAAAAGAAAACATTTTACAAATCATACAAGGCACATCTGTATTAAAAAATAACAAACACATAATCATTCCATGGCCTTACTCTTGAGCACGCAATGAATCGTCTCCCTGGATTGTCATTTGTCCATGAAGTCAGAATCGTTGCTCGAATTCCACAGTAGCAATTTCCATAAGACATTTGCGTTCTTCCCGAACCTGAAAAAGGAATAAAATCTGTGACTTGGAGACACCGTTTACCACACCTAAGTAAAATGTCGGAAGAGAAACAAGAACCAAACCGCCGGAGCCAGTATGCGTATGCCAGAGGAGATACAAACTACAGATGAGTCGGAGGAAGATGAAGTCCATATCCTAGGGTTCGGTTCATATTATAAGAAGAGTGAGGGAGGACGCTGACTTGGAAGCCACCCTGTACCTAACAAACATGGAATACTTGGCCACGTCAGTAATTCGTTCGTCATGTCAACTTTTTATCCCAACTAATGGCCGAGGTACCAAATTAACTCCTGTTTCTTAAGTTGATGTGCCGTTGGAACCGGTTTGCATGATGGTGTACTCTTTATGCCATACGCCCCTACTTCGTGTACTGAATCGACCCTTTTCTCGATTGGGTTTGCTCTCTTGCTACGAGATTCTTCATCTTCATCGTCGTCAACCAACCCGCCGCTGCCGCCCCCTTTCTTCCCTAGAAGATGGTTTCTTTGGTAGTGACCCATTCTATATAGAGCTGGATTCTTTACATTGATGGAAAAGCTGAAAGCTTTTGTGTGTGTTCATCTATATTGCGAAATGGGTTCATGCAGTTTTGCTTCAGAGATGGGCAGTATAGGGAAGAAACGTAGTGTGATGTGATTCATACAAATTGGTAATGGTTCTAGTGAATGTATATCCGATGACTACATGAGAGAATCGGATCCGACTCGAGAAGAAAGCGGAAGAAAAGAGCTGACAATTCCACGTTCAATGAGGAGTAGAATTCCATAGAATTCCATATGAATCTTATGGAATCTGTAGAATTCAATTAAAATCCATAGAATCTACAATCCTTTAAAATCATTTAAAATCCGTGTTGGGGACAGACTTTTCTCTAGCGACGTTAACTTTCACGAAGAAGAAAGAAATTTTATAACAGGAATGGGACTGTGTGTTTAGTAAAAAGAAGTGCGCCAATAATATAGAGCCCGCTTGGTAACCTTTTTTAGCTTATCAAGCTTAAAAAGCTTGTTTTTTATCAAACACGTAACTTTTGATTTCACGCGCTGAATTGTGTAATATGCAGAAAAAGTAAGGTTAGAGTTACTTTTCTGGATGCATTGACTGAAGTTACTGTAGATGATCATTTTAGCTATTTTTCATGTAATTTTTATTTTATTTGTTAATAACAAGTATTTTAAATATAATTTTTCATGAATCAGCAGAATCAGCCAATAAAGCCACTTCAGTCAGAACTTCATAAATTTCAACAGAATCAACCAATTCACCCATATTTTAGTGTTACCAAACGGGTTCATAATTTCCCAAGTTGTTGTATTATAAAGCAGAGTGTAGGCCCTGCAGGGGCACTCAACCCAGATCTCTTTAATATTAAAGGCCCAAAAGAGTAATAGTAGTACTAAGCAGCCCAATAACCTTTAGGGAGAATTTGAGTTTGCACCACATGTTTTGGGTGATATTTGATTTTGCACCTTATTTTCTAAATCATTAATGTATGCACCCCAATTTACTATAAAATCATTTGACTTTGCACTCCACTCCTTCACAATTTTTGGGTTAATGGGGTGCATAAGTTAATTATTTAAAAAATGGAGTGCAAAAGCAAATATGGGCCAAAACACAGGGCGCGAACTCAAATTCTCTCTAACCTTTATCCAAGAAAAATACATAATATTAGAAGTCTCGCTCTGGTTCTGCAAGCAACACCGACAGACACCCATTCGGCTATTCCGATTTCCACCGGGCACCAAATCGGCAACTGCCTCTGCAAGCGACGAAGCACAAAGGGACGAGGGACGGATAAGTCCCCGGAGTCCAGGACGATTTCCGAGCGCAGCCATCCCGCCACCGCGCCAAGCCTGCACGCCGCCACGTTTCCGGTCCGCTCACTCCACTGAATCGCTCGGTGCTCGCACTCCTCACAACGCTCGCTGAAGTGCTGAACCAGGTAAGGTTTTACGACTTTTCTCTTATAAATTATCAATTATTAATTTCTTAATTCTTAAGGTATTCTTACTTTTTTCATAACTTCTTATGTATCGTTATTTGTTAATCTTCTTGATTATTATGTGATTGAATTGCTTATTTTATTTATTTATTAGGCCTGAGTAATTTATTATCGAATTTAACAGATTAGGATGTTGTTTATTAATTTAGTAATTAAGTAATCAAACTAAATTTATTTAAAAAATTGGTATAAGTATGTTATTAGGTTGTTAATTTTGAAATTGGTTACACTATAATAATTTAATAGTTTACAAGTATTTTTTATGTTTATAATCTATAGTCATAAATTCAAAATTTAAATTAAATTTTAATTTAAAATCTGTAAACGTGTACACGATGAGTGGAGGATTTCAAGAATTGGTAGTAATTACGTTTCCAAAGAAACACCCATCCGGATATGAGAAGCTTAAAAAGAAAAGAAGACACTACATTGAAAATTTTTGTTTAGTAAATGAGTTTGCATCTATATATGCTTAGACAGTAAAAAATTCAGGCAGAATCTCTTTTTCAGACAAACAGCTCAATTATTGTCTCTCATAAAGGTGGTCAATCAGGTAGAGGAGTGATAAGGCTCTGAGTCCGGTTAGGGGTGGGTTCTTTTTTGTCAAAACCAAACAGGGCAGGCGGGATGGGTGGACCTTCATAGTTTTAGTTTCAAATAGGTTCCCTTTACAAAATTGGGTGGCGGACCGACCCATCTCTAAACATACCTATATAAGGTTGCCATTTATTCATTCACGAAGGAGAATAGTCTTCCTTCTTCAAGCGAAGCTGGGAAACAAGGAAAGCCTATGACTGCTTTATGTGTTGCCTTTTGCTATACAAGAACAAGATCTGGAGTTATTATACCATGGGAGCAGCCAATGGTGAGCATCCTACTCTCACTGCTAAAACACGTGTGAACAATAACTTTTTTTCTAGTAGCGAAGTGATGTAACTTGCGTGTAAAGAAATGTAACTCACATTGATGATAAATGTATATGGAGGCAAGTCGAAATGTCATGTCTAATATTGAGTATAAGAAATAAAACATCAAGTTCAATGTAAATAATGAAAAAAGGAGTCTAATTGTTCAATTATTTTATGTAAACAGTGAATATGTTTTCTTTTTAATATCACGACTATAAAAAATGATAAAAACATTTTTTATTTTAGTAACAAGGGTTTATTTTGTGATGTAAATCATGTTATGGCAAATGTAACTCGTGTTAATGAAAAATGTAACTTACGTGTATGCAAAATGTAACTTGTTAAGGTAAATCCAATTGTAACTTGTGCATCAGAAGATGTAACTTGCGCATAAAAAGATGTAACTTGTGTATAAGAAGATGTAGCTCGTGCACAAAAAGATGTAACTCGCGCATAAGATGTAACTCCATATACTATCAAATGTAATTCCAGGAATCGAGATAAACAAACTCAATTTCTTAAACAATCTCTAAAAACATATAAAAGATATAAAAATTATGTTATAGAAAAGAGTGTATGAATATAAAAATACTACATAATAAAAATAGTGTATGAATATGAAATGCAATATACTTATTTTCTTTAGATTAATACTTTTTTTGTTATGAATTGATAAAGAATAAAAAAATAGATTGAGCTGTAATTTAAGTTGAAGATAAAGAAAAGTAAAATTGGAATTACATTTTAATTATACTTTGATGGAGAAGGGAAAGAAAAGAAAAAGAAACAAGAAAAAGCCAAGGAAAAACAAAAATGATGCACTCCACTACTCTATGGAAGAAAAAGAATGAAATGGAATACGTATTAGTGCCTTAGTGTAAAATTTGCCCTAGATCTGCAAATGACCAAGCTGCTACATTTTAGTTTGCAGAAAATGGATACAACTCTTGATTGTAACTTCTGAAAAAATGAATTGTGCTCAAAATCACCAAATATTAAACTCATGTTGCTTAACTATTGTTTATATTCTAGTAAACAAAAAAATATTTTGAAAAGAGTTTACGTCCAAGTGTCCAACTCTACCGCTCTACGGTATGTCGGTATGGTATGAAAGGAGATTATGTTTACTTCTTAATTGAATTGCTTTTGCTTTTTCTTACGGATTGAATTACCTGAAATTAACACCATTCTACATTTAGGAGGATAGTTGGCATGTGCTGTGTGTGCGCAATATTGATATTACTTGCGCTATGTGCTAATTGAGCACTGCTTGCTTGTGGTCTTAATTTGGTTTCTTTTCCTTACACTTTACAGTTTGTTCATCTTTCAGATAATAATACATATTGCAGTTTTGACTTCTCTCTTTATAAATAAATATTTAGCTGGTCCAATACAGTTTTGTCACTTAAATGTATCACGTATGGTTTAAAAAGGCGCTTACAGGGAGGCTCGCCTCAAGGTGAGGTGTACAAAGAAGGTTTTGAGGCTTAGGATTTCTTTGCAGGACAAGAGGCTTACGTTCTTTATCTTTTTATCCTTTTTATTTTATATATATCCTTTTTATCCTTTTTATAAGTTTAACTATTATACTACGTACCAAAAAGTTTTACTTTTTTGTAAATTTTGAGCTTACGCCTTGCGTCTCTCGAGCAAGCTTCCTCAATACCTGAACTAGCCTTTTCAAAACTCGGTATCACATTAATATCAGTGATACTGAATACTGATGTAGTGAAGGCTTCTTTTTGTGACATTTTAGGCTCATTTAGACTGAATAGTACATAGTATTTTATTTGGAGAATATTGCACACTTTTTGGAGTTTTTTGTTATTAATTTTCTTGATTTGAAATGGTGCTAATCTATCGATGGAGGAATAGTATTGATTTTTGCTTCTGGTTTGTGGGTACTCACCCTAATATATGTCATCATCCTGAATGAGGATTGAAGCTACCCTATAACTGGATAAGTTCCGGGTACTCCAGCTGTTACCTATTGTCACATACATAGTACTCGTATTATTCATGTCTACTTTTCTGTTCAGGTTTCATCTAATGTCAACATAAATCTATTGTGCTTATTCACTTTCTTTTGCACATATTGGTATATTATCTTCACATGGGTGATTAAAACCTTATTAGCTTTGAATGCAGAAACATGTCTTCTAAAAATGAAGAAGGTGTAGGTGGGGGTCAGGATGCAGCAGAAAGAGTAAAGGCGGCAGCACTAACGGCAGCAAAGGGTTTGAGTCGTGCCCAGGCTGAGCGTGCAGCTGCAGCCGCAGCGCGGAACGTGAATGCGTATGGGCAGAAGGAGGAGGGGCCCAGCAGATGGCAGGAAAGGAAAGAAGCAAAGCGGCAAATGTATTTGATGAGCACTGAGAAACAAGTGAGGTTGGGCGAGAGGAAAGACCTCAAGACTTCAATGTCCTCTTCCTCCGGTATTTCCTCTTTTTCTCAGTGTCAAAAGTGTTTCCAGACTGGGCACTGGACGTATGAGTGCAAGAACGAGAGGGTTTACATCTCACGACCGTCCCGTACCCAGCAACTGAAAAACCCTAAACTGCGAATGAGGGGTCCAGTTTCTTATGATTTAGAGGACAACCCAAAAGTTTCCGAGAAGAATAGTAAGAGAAAGCACAAATCAGACACAGAGTCAGGCAGTGACAGTGAAGCTTCTGTTTTTGAATCTGAAAGTGGTGGGTCTGCGTCTGGCTCTTCTTCTTCTTCTGGAGGAGGGAGTGAATCAAGTTCATCCTCTGACTCGGAGGAAGAGAGGAGGCGGAGGAGGAGGAGCAAGAAGAAGAAGAAGCAGCAGCATAGGAAAAGAAGACACCGGAAAGACCAGTCGACAACATCTGAGTCATCATCTGATTCATACTCGGAGGATTCAGACTCGGAGGACCGCTCTGCTAGAAAGAAGAGCAGCAAGAGGCGGGAGAGCAGAAGGCGCTGATGAGCTATGTTAAGCTGCAAATGTTTTTCCCACCACAGGAGTATATTTCTTCTTTAACTGAGACATTGTTATATGATACAGCAAGTATGCATGCTTGTTTTGTATGAATTTCAAGACTCGTTTTTACTCCATTTTGACCTCGCTGCAATTTGGATCAATTGAATCTTATCATGTGTTTGCTCTTGGCATGTTTTCCGAAAATGGACTTACCAAAACGATGCTCGGTCTTGACATATATAAATACTATTTTTTTGAGTGGGAAAATCGGAATTTGACAACTGGGCTAGAAAGACAAGGCTCTCCTAATAGTAATATCTATAAATGGCTTGTTACCGGTGGGCGTAGCTCAACTTGTAACAAGGGAGTGCCACAAGGGTTAGGTCCCGGGTTCGAATCCCGTCAACTGCGATGAGGGGTTACTATGCTAAAAATGCATAGGGCCTCTGCAAGTACCGGGGACAGAGCCTCACTCTCTATCTGTCAGATTGAGATTATAGTTCAATTTACATCCTCTCAACGTACCGTCCGGTCGGGGTTGGGGGGCCCTCAGGAATGGGGTGTCATCCTTTTTTTATAAATGGCTTGTTAACATTCCCGTATGCAAATTCGATAAACATCCGTACTCCAGTGCATTTCTCCATCTCAATTCCCAATTATGGATATATGATGCTAGATTGCTAGATAGTGTAGCAAAATGTTTAGGACCTGTCTACTAACAGAGATATTTTCCAGTTTTCCAGAAAAATGGAAAATTAGAAAACAGAAAACAGGAAACGCGTTTACCAAAGAAAATTGCTGGAAAACTGGAGAAAGGAAAACAGAAAAACGCGTTTACCAAACCGTTTTCCGAAACGAAAAAAATGAGACATTTCTCTCTTTTCCTTAATGATTTGGAAATATACGATAATATGATGACCGGCATCATTGATGTGTATCACTTTTCCTGAGTCCGGTCGTGATGTGCGGACGGCGATGATGAGCCGATCCGATAATATGATGACGAGGCAAGAATGAAGTCGATCGTCATATAAGGGCGATGGTCACCATCCAGGAAGGGATGGCGAGCCCGATCGCTAGCTCAAGACTCTCGGCGCTGAGGAAACCGGTCTTGAGATAGATAGTCACGCCGAGGCCGAGGGGCCGGTCGTGATGCGCGGATGGCGATGAAAGGAGCCAATCCGAAATATGATGACGGGGCGATAATGAGCCGGCCGTCATATAGAGGCGATGGTCACCATCCGGGAAGGGATGGCGAGCCCGATCACTGGCTCAAGACTCTCGGCGCTGAGGAAGCCAGTCTTGAGATAGATAATCACGCCGAGGCCGAGGGGCCGGTCGTGATGTCCGGATGGCGATGCTGAGAAGCCGATCCGATAATATGATGACGAGGCGATGATAAATCGGTCATCATATAGAGGCGATGGTCACCATCCAGGATGGGATGGCGAGCCCGATCTCTGGCTCAAGACTCTCGGCGCTGAGGAAGCCGGTCTTGAGATAGGTCATCATGCCGAGGCCGAGAGGCCGGTCATGATGTACGGACGTCAGCACTTGGAGGCCGATCCGAAAGTCCATGCAGCGGTCCTTATCCATAAAGTGAGAGGATGAGGCCGGTCTTCAGAGTATGATGATCACGCTGAGACCGAGGGGTCTGCCGTGTCGATATAAAAGATCGCGTTGAGATCGAGGGGTCTACCGCGATGTGAGGATGACGGCGGTGATGAGTCGTTCCAATAAATGATGACGAGGCGATGATGGAAGCCGATCGTCATATAAAGGCGACGGTCGCTTATCCAGGAGGTGAATAGCGAGCCCAATCACTAGCTCAAGACTCTCGGCGCTGAGGAAGCCGGTCTTGAGATAGATAATCACGCCGAGGCCGAGGGGCCGGTCGTGATGTCCAGATGGCGATGATGAGAAGCCGATCCGACAATATGATGGCGGGGCGATGATGAGCCAGCCGTCATATAGAGGTGATGGTCACCATCCAGGAAGGGATGGCGAGCCCAATCGCTAGCTCAAGACTCTCGACGCTGAGGGAGCCGGTCTTGAGATAGATAGTCACGCCGAGGCCGAGGGGCCGGTCGTGATGCGCGGATGGCGATGCTGAGAAGCCGATCCGATAATATGATGACGGGGCAATGATGAGCCAGCCGTCATATAGAGGCGATGGTCACCATCCAGGAAGGGATGGCGAGCCCTATCGCTAGCTCAAGACTCTCGGCGCTGGGAAAGCTGGTCTTGAGATAGATAATCACGCCGAGGCCGAGGGGCCGGTCGTGATATGAGGAAGGGCAAAGCGTTGACGCCGGACTGAACATGAAGGACGGTGGAGCCGGTCCGAAGATGGGGGAAGGCGCTGGGCGCTCGTCTGAGATGAGGGACGGCGTTGGGCGCTCGTCTGAGATGAGGGACGGCGTTGGGTGCTCGTCTGAGATGATGGACGGCGTTGGGCGCTCGTCTGAGATGATGGACGGCGTTGGGCGCTCGTCTGAGATGAGGGACGTCGCTGGGCGCTCATCTGAGGGACGGCGTTGGGCGCTCGTCTGAGATGATGGATAGCGCTGGGCGCTCGTCTGAGATGAGGGACGGCGTTGGGCGCTCGTCTGAGATGATGGACGGTGTTGGGCGCTCGTCTGAGATAATGGATGGCGTTGGGCGCTCGTCTGAGGGACGGTGCTGGGCGCTCGTCTGAGATGATGGACGGTGTTGGGCGCACGTCTAAGATGAGGGACGGCGCTGAGCGCTCGTCTGAAGATGAGGGACGGCGTTGGGCGCTCGTCTAAGATGAGGGACGGCGCTGGGCGCTCGTCTGAAGATGAGGGGCGGCGCTGGGTGCTCATCTGAGATGAGGGACGGCGCTGGGCGCTCGTCTGAGATGATGGACGGCGTTGGGCGCTCCTCTGAGATGTACTTAGCCAAATATGTGGCTTGATTTGTGGGGATTTTATTTTTTATCGCTCGAGGCCGGCGAGTGCGCGGTCCTCGGCTTCCCTCTTTTGATTTGTAGGGATATCGCTTTAGGCCGGCAAATGCGCGAACCTTCGACTGTCCCTCTTTTATTTTTGGGGATATCGCTTCAGGTCGGCGAGTGCGCGGTCCTTCGGTTGTCCCTCTTTTATATTCTTCCTCTTTACTCTTTTGAGCGAGGAGTGGGTATCCTTCTTTCAGGCTTCGGCCAAGGGGGTCGATAGTCCCTTGGCAGGTAAGGAGTCCTACTGGATCGTCTTGTGATCTCAGGGAGGTCCCGTCTCCTATTTATGACGCGGGCTAAAGCTTTTGGTCGGTTACCGACGACTGCCGTTTCTCATCCCTGAGTTTGGGGATTTTTGTCACCTCGGTCATGATTTCAGACCCGTCGTCCTGCTGATTTCGCGGATAGACGAAGCGGTGAGCTTCCCATTTCAAGACGTGGGGTCTTTGTGGGCCCTTCATCCTGGGGACACAGATGGCCTTTCCTGAGCATTTTCGCTCTGAGGGACCGAAACGGTGTGCTCTGTCGACCTTTCCTGAGCATTTTTCGCTCTGAGGAGTTGATGTATTATGCGGTATCTTAGACTGAGGTGTACCATTTACCGCTTTTAAGCATAATAATGTCGTGTGCGCCTGATAGTGGCTCTCAATTTTAGATGTCCGAGTCACCAAATAAAGGTGACTAGGGTAGGTCGATGGACCTAAATATAATCCGAATCATCAAATAAAGATGTTCGGTAGACTAGAGCTCGGGTCCACCACTTTGGGGGTTTTTGACCTCGGGAAATTTAAATCTGTCATAATGGTCTTCACCACTCGGGGGATTTTAACCCGCCATAATGGTGGTGGAAATAATATAATTAATAATAGTACTAAGTCTACTACTATCATTTAATAAATATTTTAAGTGTATAAATAGGAGTATTGGACACTTAGCTCTTATTTGGGCCGGAATATTGGAGTGCATGGGCTTATCTAGCAGTTGGGCCCATCATTTTGATAATCACTTCTGGGCTCCATGTAGCCCTGGCCCGCTGGTCTATGGTCTGCTTTTGACCTGGGAGCAGACCTTTGCTTAGTCAGAATTGTTGCCGCACAACCTAGCTCCGTTTTTGCGATGGAGATAAAAAAGCTAGTGTCGCCCTAGCTTCGTTGCTGGTGGGATTCGGCTGGAGCTACTGAGCGCAAGAGATCTCATCACCGGTGGAGGCTTGCCGTCACAAAAGATTGGTGATAAACCGCAAAAAATTAGAATGTTATCCTATCAATTGGATACATAGAGTATATTACTTTATACACCATATACTTGATTTGTTTAACCATTTCATCCACCGTGATCTTGGCCTTCTCAAAACATATCTTGTTCCTCATCCGCCAGGTCCAATATATAGTATAGCAAAAAGATAGTCTCACGGTTTTAGCCTTGGCATGTGCTCCATTATGCTCTTTCTTTATCCATTTGATTGCGCTCAGAATCTTTGTCATCCTTCTTGAAATTCCAATCCAATTCCGCACCAACTCCCAAACCTGTTCTGTAAATGAGCACTCAAAATATAGGTGTGACACCGTTTCCGGGCCACCCTTACAAAAAGAACAAATATTAGTCACATCCAAAAATCTCAATCTGTCATATGTGGCTAATCTACCTCGACAGGCCAGCCAAGTGATGAACGAATGTTTGGGAGGAATATAGCTCTTCCAAATAAACGACATCCAAGGATGGATGGTTCCTTTGATACGAAGTAAGTCATAAACTTTAGAGGAGGAAAGTTTCCCATTTTGGGAGAACTTTTCAAGGCATTCCACAACTAAATCCAATGAAGGGAACTTAGATACCATCAAGTCCCGAACATTTCCAATTGCCTTCAAGTCCCGAACTTAGATACTTATTATCTACTTATATCTACTAAATACATACATATTACAATTTACATCTACTTAGTTCGAATTGTTAGTACATTTTAGTACGAATTAGTACATTTTATATAATACTTTGATTGTTAGTACATTAAATAACTAGTACAAAAAACTAGTTAATTGTTAGAATGTTAGTTTTAAGTATTTATTAAAAAATACTATTGATTAGTTCAAATAACTAGTACAAAAAACTAGTTAATTCATTACTCAATTAAACTTAGAATTTTATTTCATTAAAGTTAGAATTGTTAGAATTTTATTTGTCTAAAGTTAGAATTGTTAGAATTTTATTTCATGAGTTCGAATTGTTTTTATAAATTAATATTTGTTACATGTTTAAGATGGAAGGTGGTAGATATTCGGTTGATATGGGTAACCTCGACCGCAACCGAACGAACGAGCTTGCGAGGAAGAGATCCCGCAAAGGTAAATCACATATCGGCTCTTCATCTCAAACCCGAGATGATTTTGATACGGGTTACGCAAGGAGAGATGGGGATGCGATGACCGACAAACAACTAGAACAAGAATTGCACCGACATAATAGCCGCTTTTCCAAGACCAGCCGAGGACTATTGACGAAGAAGAGCTCGATGACGATGATGTGGAGAAAGTAATTCCGGAGAGCCACAACGTCGACGCGGAAGAGGGTGGCGGCAGCCACGACGCCGACGAGCCTGCCTCAACCCAAACCGGTACGAAAAAAGTAAATCTGAACTAATGCTTAATAATTTTGATAAGTGGAAGAACCCGAACACCGCGAATTGGAACGCAACTTGCAAGTGGTGCAAGAAAAATTATAGTTTGGGGATTTTCGGCGGATACGGATCCGCCGCAAGGCATGTTAAGGACAAACACACGGTGGAGTATGCAAAATTAGGCGGCGGAACGGGGAAGCAAACTCAAATATCGAGGTTTGCAAATAACCAACAACCTTTTGGTAATTTCTCATACAATGGTGCACAAAATTTGACTGGTATGGCTAACTTATTTGTTGAAGAAAATTTGCCTTATTTGTTTTCTGAAAGTCTTGCTTTCAAAGATTATGCACAAACTTGTTTAAATCCTCAATATAGAGGTTATAGTCGCAAAACGGTTAAGAAAGAAATTGCAAGGCTTTATGGTGCGGAAAAGGTAAGGTTACAAAATTATTTTGCAAACTTTGATGGGCGTGTTAGTGTATGTTCTGACATATGGGAGGATACTTATCATAATTTACATTATTTGGGTCTGACTGCACATTATATTGATAATGATTGGAATATACATAAACGTGTTTGATGGAGTATATGGCCCGGGAACCCCCGGCCCACAGACTCCCACTACTCCAGTAAAGTCCCAACAGGCCCAGAAGGCCCAACACGCCCAAATCACGGCGCCCAGAGTACCAAGCAGCCCGCAATACGCACCAGGGGTGCCTTCGGCTCTCCAAACGCCGCCTTCATCCAAACGCTCTCCGACGTGCAATCGGCGCTCTCCGGCTCAACCCCAGGTTGGGGAGAACATCATACTTCCCCCTCTGCCACACCCCTTCGGAAACCCCACCCCTCGGGTTGGGAACGACGAAGGGGTAGTGGCCCAAGATACGTCCTCCCAGGAAGTTCAGTCCCGGGACCGCCACAATGACAACAGAGAAAGGCCCCGCACTTCCGCCCTCAACCGGCTCGGAGGAGGGCCAGACTGCCGAGGGGTCCAAGACCGCCTCGGAGGGAAAGCACTCCAAAGGCCCCAGGAAAGCGGAGGGTCTGTCTCGAGGGCAGACGAGGAGTGTCCCCCTCGTGACAAAGGCAAGGCACCCCTTCATGCCAATGATGCTCGCCACCAGATCAACCAGGCCCACTCGGCCCGGGTTCGTTCGCAGGGGGCGGAGACCCTCCCGAAGGATCCCCGGGACGAAATTATTGCGGCCCTCCAACGCCGGCTTGATGAAATGGAGGCCAACAAAGCTCACGCCACCAACTCCACCCCTCATTCAGATCTCAAATACGAGGCCATGATGGCCAAAATGGAGGAATTACAGAAGAAGGTGGCCGAGGGCTCCGGGGAACCCGTCATCCAGCTCCGGACCCGGACGCCATTTACCCCAAGGGTACTGGCGGCCCGGATCCCGGAAAAATACCGAGGGCAACACATACAGTCCTATAACGGGAAGACGGACCCCCAGGAACACTACAGCAAATATCAAAACAACATGATGATGGTAGGGGCGTCGGACGAATATTTGTGTCGTTGGTTCCTCTCCACATTAGAGGGGCCGGCATACGAATGGTTCAACCGGTTGCCCGAGGGCTGCATTGATTCGTGGCAAGAACTCGCCCAGCGATTTTTGACACAATTTGCCGGGAGGCGTCGCACAAGGAAGCACTTCTCCCACCTCCTCACCATACGCCAGAAGAGGGATGAGACCCTTCGGGACTTCCTGGAGCGCTGGAGGACGGAAGCCGACAAAGTCGACGGTGCTGATGACGGGACCCTCCTGGCCCTCCTAGAAACCGTCCTCCGCACCGGCAACTTTTCAAGGAGCCTCATCATTGAACCCCCCGCGACTACATAAGGGCTTTGCAGCGGGGGGACCGATATGCTGAGGCCAAGGAGGTGAAGAAATATCACCAGCATCCGGATCAGCAGCCCCCGAGGGCTGACAATAAGAACAACTGGGGGCCAGGGGCTCCTCCAAATCACCCCAAGTCTTCAGGACCCTCTGATGACCGCCCTCGGCAAGGCCAAGCCAAGCCCGGGGGAGGTTATAAGAGCAGCCCTAAGACTTGGGCGCAGCCCATCCTCCTGGACCGCCCCCGGACGCCAATGACGCACCCCGTCAGCATCATCCTTGATTTTGCCGAGGAGAGGGGCCTCGTTGAGCGCGACTCTCGCGCACCCCCGGAGGTACATGCTATCAACCCTCAGTTCCCATACTGTCGCTTCCATCGGCACCAGGGGCACAGAACCGATGATTGCCATCAGCTAAAGACGGCCATCGAGAGATTAATACAAGCGGGACACCTGTCCCAATTTGTTCAGAGCCCTCGGCAGGAGGGACCTTCTCATCAGGGGCCTCCCCGAGGGCACCACACGAAGGTGAACGCTTGGGTGAACCCGAACACCATCCCCCTCGGCAAGAAGAGGGAGATCGGAAACTTGGAGGAAGAAGAGGAGGAGTACCCCCACTATCAGGAGAAAAAACGCCACATCCTCATGATCACCGGTGGCAATACAGGGGGCGATTCCACCAGCCAGCGAAAGAAGTGGGCTCAATCGCTTTACGTGGGGGAAGTCACTCATATGCCCCCGGTAAAGCGGTTGAGGGAAGAACCCATCACCTTCACCAACGCAGATCTCCCTCCTACTTCTTCTCCTCACAGGGATGCCTTGGTGATTCGGACTGAGATAAACGACACCATCATTCACCGAACTTACATTGACACAGGAAGCTCCGTCAATGTAATGTACCTCAGCACCTTCAGAGAGCTGCATCTGGAGAGGGGGTCCCTTCGGCCCATTAAGACCCCTCTTGCCGGTTTCACCGGCGATACTATTGATTCTGAGGGGGTAATAACCCTCCCGGTGATCTTCGGCGACGGGCTCCATAGAGCCCAGCTCGAAGTGGAGTTCGTCGTTGTCAACATCGACTGCGCCCACAACATTATCCTCGGCCGGCCAGCCCTCGAGGACCTCGAGGCCATCATCTCCATGAGGCACCTCTGCCTCAAGTTCCCCGCCGAGGGGGGCATTGGCTACTCCCGGGGGAATCAAAAAATCGCCCGCGCCTGCTATCTTCAAGTCACTAAGAAGATAAGTAAGACGAAATTCCGTGTTGACACCATCACCGGAACCATCGACCAAGAAGAAAAAAGGCCGAGGGCTGAACTAGCCGAGGACGTAGAAGACTTTGCGCTCGATCCGGCCCAGCCGGAGAGAGTCGTGAAGATTGGAGCCCAGCTCCCTGAAGATCTGAAGACCGGTATCACCGACGCCTTCCGCGCCTACTCCACTGTCTTTGCATGGGGCCGGAGGACATGCCGGGAATAAGCCGAAGGGTCATCACCCACCGCCTCTTGGTGGACCCCTCGGCAAAAGCAGTACAGCAACGAAGAAGACCCCTCTCCGCCGAGAGGAGGGAATTTGTGAGAAAGGAGGTCGCCATGCTCCTCTCTATTAAGCACATCAAGGAGGTGAAATACCCCTCATGGCTGGAAAACGTGGTCCTCGCACAGAAGCCCCCTACCTTCCGCATGTGCGTGGACTACACGGATCTCAACAAGGCGTGCCCTATGGACCCTTTTCCTTTGCCCAATATCGATCAACTTGTGGATGAGACCGCAGGGTGTGAGATCATGTCCTTCCTCGATGCCTTCCGAGGGTATCACCAAATTTTCATGCACGAGGAAGACACCGAAAAAACTGCCTTCATGACTCCCGAGGACATCTTCTGCTACCTAGTAATGGCCTTCGGCCTAAAGAACTCGGGGGCCACCTACACCCGGATGGTGGCCCGGGTCTTTCAAGCCGTCCTAGGGCGCACCATGGAGGCCTATGTCGACGACATGATCGTAAAGAGCAAACAATCTCCCAGCCATGCTGACGACCTCTGGGAAATCTTCGCCATCATGCAAAAGTTCAACCTTCGGCTAAACCCGAAGAAGTGCACCTTCGGCGTCCAAGGGGGCAAGTTCTTGGGCTACATGGTGAGCCGAAGGGGTATTGAGGCCAATCCCGAGAAGATCC